TTCCACCGGCAACTCAAAGCATCACTCTGTGCCCAATCTAGCACGTCCTGGCACGAAGCACTTCCGCTTCTCTTAGGCATAAGAAACACGATTAAAGTGGATTTGCATGCCACTCCATCGTCGCTAGTCTTTGGATGCACACAACGCTTACCTGGTGAACTCGTCTCACCAAAAGCACCAATAACCTTCGACTATGGCGACTACTCAGCTCGCCTATCTCATCACATGCGACAGTTTCAACCTGTGCAACCCAGAGCACAGAGGTTGCGTACCAGCGTGGACGAATGCTTAACTACTTGCACGCACGTGTTCGTCCGCACTGACAGCTTACGCCGGCCACTTTAACCTCCTTACTCTGGTCCATGCCGTGTTGTACGCAGAAACGACAAGACGTTTACCATTGACTACAATGGTAAGACTGAGACAATCAAAATCGATCGACTCAAGCCAGCCTTCCTTGACAAGTATGACTCTTCGGTGCAGCAAGCACCTTCACAGCCTGCGACATCACAGCTCGCACCGCAACCTCAGACGAGTCAGTGCGCTCCAGCAGAACCGACAACCCCAACCAACAGCACTCCTACTCGCCCTACTATCAATCGACGCGGTAGGAAACTCAAGCCTCCAGTTCGTTTTTCGGACATCGTTAGCACTCACTATTTTACATAGAACGTGCCTCTGAAATTTTCTGCTCTTACCAAACGTTTTTGAAAATCCAAAAAAGACCAAAACGTTTCGAAACTACCAAAAAAGAGCAAAACCTTTTGAAAACCCAAAAACAGCTTTGCACGTTTTTCGCCTTACACTCATTTGTGTATTGCTATGTATTTATGCAGCTTTTTCATTTTGCTTTCCATATACACCGTCGGTTGGCTGCACCTCGGTTTCAATTTTCGATGGATCCCCGCACGTCAATTGGAAGTGGAACGAACTTCCTGTTCAACCGACTACGTGAACTTTACTAACTGTCCCCCCCCACAAACAGCTGTACCGTTTCGACACCGTAGGGAGGACACGGGTGGGAGCCCGCTAGGGTCCGATTGCATGGTTCTCCCCCAGCAGCTGCATCAGGTTTCACAACCTGGTCTTGCAGAAGGCTGGCCGGCGACGGACAGTCCTCACGTAGATCGAAGGACTGCTTACACAGTCCTTTCTGGGAGAGGGCTATGTAGCAGTCTGGAGATTCCCCGGTTTGCTTGTGTAAAATTCTAACTAAAATTATTTCATTGTACACCTAGGTAACCGGTGTGGTTTGTTGAAATGATTGCTGAGTTCGAATGCTTGACTTGCTCATCGCCATTTTTGCTTGGTGCTCGTTTCGGTTGCAACTCGTGACTGCCCTGTGTGCTGTGCATGCTCCGTTCCCCTAGCTAGAGCGTCCACGGTGTCGTTCTTTTATAGCTAGATAACAGGGAATCTTTTACTGTACCAATAAAAGTTTCCCTGCAACTCGATCTGTCTTCTCGAATAGCTCTCTGGGCTCCCGGTACAAGCGACCCTCTAAAGAAGTGCTGCAGCTGCTCGAACCAGTCGCTGCAATGCAGACAGTAGGTTTGCATAATCTGGTGGTACGTCGGCTATTCAGAAAACAGGACTGATTATCGGAGCATCTGTAAGAACTCCTTCAACCCCTATTTTAGTACGGTCATCTAAAAGTCTCTGGCGACCAGCATCAACAAGCAACCCAAAATGTTGGGGGAAGTCGATACCGATAATTGTGAAGGGTACAGACGCAATCATGAAGACCCAATAAAACGCTTGGTGGATTGAGGTCCAGGTTCCTCATGCGTTGACCGCATGAAATTATCGGAGAGCCGTTGGCCGCGCGCAGGATGTACGTAGGCTCTGAGTGCTTGTCATTCGTGGTCGCTGGGATGATGCTGACTTCCGCTTCCGTTCCGATGAGGAACATGATGGAAGAACATCGATCCTTAATGTAAAGCAAGCGATATGATTGGTTATTGACGGATACGTTGGTGGTGCTAGTATGCGGGCTATTCGCTTTCCCTGAAGCGGCTGAGTAGTGCCTAATGCAGGGAGTTCGACAACGCCTAGCTCTTCCACCGTGTTGGCGGTGATACCAATATACTTCTTTGACGGGTTTGGTATTGTATGACTGAGAAGGTGCAGGGAAAATGTTGCGCTTTCGTGCCCAACGAGACCTACTCGGTGCAGGCACAGACGAGCCGCAATGAACGGTAGCCAAAACGTGGTCAGCATCTGACCATGGCACACACTGCTTCGAAGACTTCATTGCTGCTAGCCTGCTGCGAAGTAGCGCAATTTCCTCGTCTTTAGGGTCAGATCGGCCTGACGACTGGGAGCAAATATGGGATACGGTTTTCATCGGTGAGAATATGTCACCGGAGCTACTGGTCGTCTGCTGCGAAAAACTTTAAAACGCAGAGTTTTCCTTTGTAGCTATATCTTTCAGGGCTGTATCGAGAAACATGGACAGTATTATCGGCAATGGTTCTGGGAGACGTGCAAACCACAGCTCCTTTAGCCCTTCTTCGTTCAAGAATAAGGGACCAGTGATGTGCTGAAGTTCGCGAAGCAACGCCGATGACTTGCGATCTCCAAGCTTGAAACCACTGACCTGTTCAAATCGAGCAGTGCGTTGGGCTGTAACTCATTTAGAATCGCTAGCTTTATTGTTTCATACTTTGCCTCATTCGATGGGCAGAGTAGAATGTCCTCAACCAGCGTCACACCCGGCGAAGGAAGGCATGGGACGAGTTGTTCGTACCTCGGACGGTCCGCTATAAGGCCCTTATTTTCCAGTTCGATCTCGAATATCGCAAATCAAACCTCCGGGCTGTGTTCCATGAAAGTTGAAACAGCCAAAGTAAACACGTTTACGCTGCGAACGACTCATATGCCACTCTCGAATTGTGAGTCAAAAAGATAAAGGATGAACAAAAACACGACAAAAGTACTAAAATGATGCAAGAAACAAATGAATACACGCATATAATCGAAAAAGTAACGAACTCAGCAAAAAGTGCAAACGAGAAAAAAGAGGTCGCTTTCGGGCGTGCGAATCGGGGTCACCATTGTGTACGACTAATAAATACTAGTCCGGGACGGTGCGCGAAAGCAAGCGCGAATATCAGAAGGCAATTGAAGTCGGACAAAGCGGACTGTATGCGATGGGCTACAAAAAGACGCGAAAGGATGAAGCAAGACACAAGATATACGTTAGCGCAGGAACTTACAAGGCGGTCGAGTGTCGTGCCGGTTGTAAGGAAGATTTAATCAAGCGAGAATAATATACAATTTGTCAACAAGTAAATAGTAGATAAAAGATTGCAGTTATCTTTTGGGACGCTACACTCCTCCTCCCTAGGGTTCCATATGGATCGGTGCTTGGCCGCCGTTGTTATCTCCGTATGCAAACGTGTTGCCCAAAGTTTTAGGTGTCCCGTCCCTTATGTTTACCGACGCTTTGAAGTTCTGGTGCCCAGCGATCGATCCTGATGATCCCCGGGATTTACAACGGGTCCTTGGTAGACTTTTGGACTGGTCTACACTGACGCCAGTGCTTATTAATTATGTCAAGTGTTCAGTACTATGCATGGGGTATAGTGATTCTTTCCTAAGTTATCTGCTTTGGGGAAATAAGCTATCTCCGATTTCCCAGCCGGTCGACTTTGGTGTTTTATTGCCATCGGATTTCTTGTCCAGTGAACACTGGAATAAAGCCTCTGATAAATGTTTCAGACTACTCGGGATGATACGCATGTCACTCAGCATCCTTACCCTGTAAATGTTTGCCAGGTTGTTTTCAGCCTTCGTTAGGCCGCACCTAGTGTATTGCGTTCATGGTTGGTTTATGATAAAATGTCAGTGATGTGAGCTCCTAGCGTTAAGACCAGAATGGTTCAAAGACTAGGGCAGCTGACATTATTCGAGTGATCCCTTAAGCTCGGAATTTTTTCGCTGCATTATTGTCTATATCAAAACGACTTGATTCTGAAGTATTGCAGATTGACAGGAAAGATCGGCCCTGATTTGGCTTGACTTTCACGTCAACTCTACTGTCTTCTCACCGTGATCACTCAATGTAGTTGCAAACACCCCAACCTGATGGATTTACACCGACGTTCTTCTGTCAGGTAGAGCAGTCGATTCATAGAATCCGTTATCTGACCCCGCGGCATATAGAGAAATGGTGAAGGAGTTTGGGCAAAGGCTTGATGTCCTGGCATCCCCACCACATTGAAATTTCACTTTTATCAAGTTTCATAATTACAATTTCCCCGCTTTTACCTTTTCCACCCTCACATTGTTATATTTTTACTCCTAGACGGTCCGCATAGTTAAACGACCAGCCGGCTCATTTGGGCATGCTTTGGATTACTCGCGGAGGCGAAATTGTATATGGAGATTGATAATGTAATATGTTACGATATATTGTGGTAGGTTAACACACATCTTAAATACCGCCAGTTTTGGCTCTAAGTCTTTACGTTTCAGTAAAACCGTAATTTAATTCAGTGCAAGCGATCGTTTTAGCGCCCCGAATGACGGCTTGTTTTGCCCCTGGCTGTCATACTTGGACACCTTTTGGTGAAATTTTGGACACTTTAAAGAATACGGTTTAGCTTTACAACTATTATATATATATATGTATATATATATATATATATTGGAAATCGTGTTCTGCTTAGTTACCCTGATATTTGCAACCAGAAAAATGTATTCACGGCATACGTTAAGGGTGCACTGGAAAAATGTTCTGAGTGACAGCAATTCCTATGAAATGTTTCTAAATGGGACGGCCTGGGGCGTAAATAATGGTCACTTAAGGCGCTCCAATGGTCGCTCTAGTGGATATTTTTCAGTCACTGCTGTTATGCGGGTACCTCACATAGCGGCGCGGTGGGGACTGCTAATGTAAGTCATGCAAGCGTTACTTATTTTATTATGGTGTTATCCGTGCGGGTTGCTTAGGCTTTACTAGTCTGTCAAAATCATCCTTAATAAACGCCCTGGTGCAACGACGCACACACGAAAGAACATACAAGGAACTTCCTTACAGTTCCAGCCATCCTTGAGTTTGACAAACCGTTAGAGTTAGACCCAAGCAGTGAAACAGTAGGCTAGTGTAGTACATAACAATACATTAAGTAGTGGGGGTGAACGTCTGAAGGGAGATGCGTGCACATTTAACAGAGCGAAATGGCTTCTCGAAAAACCATGGTGCTTTAATCCAATTCTTTGCGAACTGTAAAATAAACCCAGCCATTCAAAAGCAAAGCCACAAGATCATCCTAAAGTTTGTTTAAAGCTGCTTGCCTTTCTGGGTGACTTTCTATCTTGTTTCGAAGGCCACGGGCCTTTGAGAGATAATGTGAAGTCATTTTCTTTGTTTCTTCTAGTGATGCCAGCTTAGAGGATACGGCGTCCACAGAATCTTCAAAGTTGAGAAGGAGCGTAGTCTTGCCCAACAAACCACAAGATCGTCGAAGTTTTGCGTTATCCGACCTCAGCTGATCTCTTGCATGTTTGAGCCTGGTTAGCTGATCGCGATTGAAGGTGAGTTCAGCGTCTGCAATACCCAATCTCTGTCGTTGTTTAGCATTCTCAGACTGCACTGCCTGAAGTTTCTCTTTAACGTGAGCCATTATTTGAACCGTGTTTGCGATTTTTCGTTTGAGTTTTGCGAGTTCTTCGTTTCGTTCTTCAATTTTTTCGTTATAGGTTTGGTTTTCAATTTTAAGCTGTTCGAAGTCTATTAAATGCAACCCCTCAGCTAATTCTTCTTTAGATTTCAGAATAGCTTCAACTTTAGCTACTTCGTTCTTCAACTTTATGTTTTCTAATCGGACCTCCATTACAGTAGCTTCTTTCTTCTGTTCTGCGTTCAACATAGTCATCAACTCTTTTGTGTTTATAGGTCTACCGGTCTTACTGTGAAGGGCCTTCTTTCCTACGTTAAATTTGTAAGTCGTGAAATCTTTATAAGCTTCATCGACTTCTTTCTGACGTTCCGAACAAGTGTTCTTTAATTCTTCAATTTGCTTATGATAGCTGGCCTGCATTGTTTGATACTGACTTCGCAGCTCCGTTAGGCTAGTAATATATTTGTTATATCTTTGTTCATAATCTACAGCATTGTCAGTCATGCTTCCGCCAACACTAGAAGCCCCACTTTGCTGGTCTGCAGCATCCGCTTTCTTCCGTCTGAAGTATTCTGCAAGCTTAGTTTGTAATTGTAGATTGGTTTCCCTTGCTATTTTGTGCTCCAAAACTGCCTGGCGATATTGTTCGACAAGCTCCTCCCTGTCACGTCGTGCTTCTTCCTTTCTCACCGTCGAATTGCCGGGTGACCCACTCCTTGATTGCTCAGATTCGACGTTCAGTAACTCTTTAGACCCTCTACTTTTGCTTTGACCGTAGTCACGCGTGGATGGTGTTCTGGCAATGTCTCCGATTTCAGAATCGGAACTTCCATCTTCCTGGTCAGTTAGAAGCCCATCCGGGGTAAAGATTTCAAAGTCCTCAAAAGATTCCGTTTTATTTCTTAGCGGTTTAGCACTTACAGGTTCTCCTGCGTTGCTATGCTTCTCCATTTTCCTAATATGCTGTCTAGATCCATGGCTCTTGTTTGATTCAGATGAACTTGAATCATACTGCTGCTCGGCACTATGCTTTCTCGTGTTGGTGAACCCTAAGGCTAGATACAGATAATAATTATCTTTGTACTGTTTTCAACTGGGATGTCACTCATGAGCGTTTTACCAGAAACTTTATTTTCTGAGGCATTTGGAGGACGTTGGCTATTGGAGGATTTAGAATTCTGTTGAAAGAAGGTCAAACGATCAAATAAGCGGCAAACCAACCTGTTCTGATGTAAAGCGCGTCTCGGAAATTGCCTCATATGGAACCTCGCTTGGATGTGCTTCCATCTTGAGGAGGCGCGACGCGCGTCAAGACAATGACCTTGAACTTTAGTGCACATAGTCAAGCTACGCGCAGTTATGACTAGAACAATAAGAGCATTTCTTGAGTGTTTCAGCTTCAGCTTTGTAAATAAAACAGGTGGTACCGCAACCAAGCTGTCCGCATGAGTGACCAAAAATGGTCCGCTGAAGTGACCTATATTCGTCACTGAGTGACCATTTTTTGTGCCCCGAGGCCATCCAAAATGTACACTTTTTGACGACTTTTGCTGACTCAATAGAACATCCTTTTGTGCATAGCTTTAGTGAGGCTCGCAAAAATTATTTTCCACTATTTGCGACTGCTGCCAGCACTAAATTCCCGGTATATCGGTCTATTAGGAGTTTCGTGCAAAGCCGTTTTAAAATGTACCTTAACCATTACATAAACAAGGTCTAATGATACGCAACTAAAGTGTTGTCCGTGGCGGATGCCTGGTACAGTCAGTGTAAGTTTGCTCATATGGTTTTAGAGTTGTGTAGTCATATAAACCGTAAGCACAAGTTAAGGTAATGGCAATAATTGTCTTAGGGAAGGAATGAAGACAGGGTAAAGGGTTTGTTTATATGAGCTATTTAGCTTGTACGTTTTGTCGCGTTTCGTGCCTTCCGCCATGCAGGATTATATCGCTGCTTTTCGTTGCATTATAACTTTTAGTTACTAAGCAATTGAGGAGTTCCAACGCGATTTGATGCGGTTCCAAAGAGAAACTAACAGCTTGCTTAATGGAGGCACAGTGTTTACCTCGACGGGTCATAGGCAAAGGACTGGAATCTAGCTCCCTGTTGTTTTTCGTTATCGATTCATTCACCATCCATGCTTGCACAGCAAGCGTAAGAATATGAAAGGGAAACGGTTAAGTGCATGATATTGTTTGCTACTGATAAATCTTATGGTTACAGGTGCTATAACTGCATGGCCCGGTTTTCCGTTATACTGAAAAGCATGTATTATGAAATTGGCCGCGCCTGCTTGAGGCATTCGTATGGGTTCCAGTTGGGGAAACTTTGGCTTTATCCGCTTAATCGGCTGATTAATGTTGTACAGTAGGCGGCGGTATTAAGTTTGCTGAAGTCGTTTCGTCAGACAAGTGAAATCAGGAATTTAATGTTAACGGAATACGGCATCCAGATTACCAAACGCGTTTTATATCATCCTAGGCATCGGAGTCAGGCGGAGCAAGTTAGTAAGGTAGATCATGTAATCATCCTGTTGGAAAACTAAGGTTCTTGTATGGTTGTGAGGAGGCAGCTGGAGGTGTGATTCTTGTTCTTCGTACCTGCGTGAATTCGGAGGTTAGTTGCAGGATACGGCGAAGTTATACTGGCGAAATCGACGCATCAGATTAATCACGACTGCTAAATTCCATGGCATTGCATGTTCGTTGACGTCACGTGGTGGGAATGTCAATCTTCTGCGCCTTGTTACCAAATGAGAAGACAGAAAGTTATTTGGGGACAGTAAAAGCCATGCGTGCAACGGGTCTAAGCACGGCATCCGTGCCAACAATTGTGATGGACAAATGTACGCATTAAATGAACGCTTTCAGACAGGTGTATTCGGGCGCATGCATGGTGTTGTGCCGTGTCCTCATGTTACTGGATAAAAACAGACAGTGCAGTCGGCTGTCACTTGCAGGCCCAGCGGAACTGGCTGTTCTGATCCGTTTGCTAGTGAACCTAATATTCATGCCTGATGAGACGCGTTATGACGGAATACTGGGAAACATTCAGCGGAGAAATACGGAATGCTTTTAGTATTTTCGTAGAACATGGATACCTTGGTGAAGATGTTGGGCGGCGCATCTAATACGACATGTCATGATGTTCAGATGCAATTCATTAACCTTGTAGATAATTAAAACATGCAACTGCAATGTACTTTGAGCAAGCGTTCCTCCTTACGGGCGCTTTTCGAGGTGAGCGTTAATCGTGGGAAAGGCGTGGATGATCGTCATAGCACTCAGGTGGCAACGGAGTGCATGCGAAGTAATGCAGCACTTGGTGATGGATTTGTGGCGTCTGAACTTGTAAGCAAATTGACTGCATATGCTCACGATAGAGTGCTGAAACATTTTCATTGCTTGACGATGGTCCGTGTCGTGCCGGATGGACGGTACCGTGTGGTGTCGGAATCCGGGTCCACTGTGTAGCGCGTTTGCATAGACCGAAACAGTAACTGTGACTGTTTTTTAATCGTCAAGAGTGTATGACTTGTGGTTATATAGTGCACTTGGTGGCGGAGTATCGGAATGCCCATGATGTCCTACAAGCATTTCGATGGTTGATTGATTCTTCGGTACAATCTGCAACGGCCGAAAATTTCGGTAGCGGTCAAGTTGAGACGGTCTCCGCAGTTAGTCACGCACACAGTGTTACAGACAGGTGTATGAGGATTAGTGAATTGCAAGAGGTGCTGGCGGAACTCGTTGTGAACGTCCAAGGTTTCGGCTCAGACGGGTAGCTGAAAGTGTTGGATATTTTGCGTGCTTTCAGGAATGTTATCACTGCTAATTTGGATTGCAACATTCGCTGCGACACTTCGAAGGGTTCAGGAAGTATACTGCTGTGCACAGGAAAGGTACCACGTTTATTGGGAATTCGTTGTGAGAATGAGGTGCGAAACATTGTGGCGGGCTCCGTTGAAATATCGGCAAACGTTTTGGAGCGCATTGTGATGGACGGCAGTCAGAACTCCATCCCAGGCCCGTGAACTTCCCCTACGGTGATCTCTGTGGAGGATCCCTGGCATCGCGAACGTGCGCGCAAGGAACCTTTGATCCATCGTGTGGTAAAACCGCCTCCTGGTACCAGCGCAATGTGCGGTACGTAATTTTGTCGACTCCAGAGGACTACGATCGCGAGATGCAGAACGAAGAGCAAACGTGTTGCACTAGGAGTGCAAGTGGCCAGGTTGCAACACGTGTTTGTGTATTGTGTCTGCAAAAGGAGGACTTTGGACCGCGCGGTAGCGATGTTTCTTGGGTGGTGTGTGACAGCCGCTCAAATTGTTTAAATCGAAATTGCGCATCACCTCATGCTGAGGACACATATGAAAGCGTTTTCCACAAGGTGTAAGTTAACGTCGTTCTATTTAATGACGAAACCCATTGCAGTTGGCCTAAAAACAACAACATGGGCATTTGCAATTAAAAGCCAATAGCAGAAGTGAAAGTGATGCTTTGTACTTGCGAATGTGCATCACAACTTCGGTGAATTTCGTGTTGCTATGAAAGCACTCATTTCAGATGTCGGTGAATAAATTTGCCTTCACTTGCTTATGTGTATTAAGGCAGCAGTTGCATCAGCAAGTGCGGTTATGCTAGCAAAACGCAATGCCGTTCGCAGGTTTATCCTTCTTCCACCTCATCCACTTTACAAGTGAAAGCGGGATCTGAACAACCACCTTAATCTGTCTACACCGTGGACGTGCGCCCACCCACGGAACACAAAGAAAGCTGTCAGGCAAGTTATCAATAACGGAGTGCAAGCGCATGCTTACACAGGGAATCTCGGTTGTCCAGGCATGCAGACAACTAAAACTTTGTCCGCTTGGAGCTTAGCGCGGTATGCATGGCGCTGCTCTAGCAGCGGCAGCAGAGTTAGTTAGTGGTCTGTACAGCCAGCTACGGGGCGGAAACCTTCTAGCACTAGTCAATACTAGTCCGAGAGTGTCCTTGCTCTGGTGTGGATACCAGGAAACAGAAAGAAGGTACAAAACGGATTGTATTCAAAAAGGGCTACAATGGAACGAAAAGCGGCTGGAGCGACGAGAGCGTACGTTAGTATCAGAACTAACCGTGGACAAGCTGAATGATCCGGATGTATGTAAAAATGGCCGTATGGTCGAAACTAAACCCAATTCAAATGCTGTACGATTGAGTAACAAAACTGTACATAAGATAAGCATTATCGTTTGGGTTGTTACAACCTGCGTGATCTACCTTAATCCGCGGGTCCCGTTCCACAGTGAGGCGCTGAAGGAGAATCGAGGTACGTCCTTTTGTTATAACCGCTGTTAGGCTAATGCGCCTGTGATTAGGATGGTCTGTGTGACTGCCCATATCTTATATGGCCACTATAATGGAATCACTACAGTTAGCCGGGACACTTTTCCTTCCAGGTGCGTTTGAAGAGGGTGTTCAGTTCTTTGAAGAGGACCTCACCTCCATCCGTAGATGGTGCATATGAGAGAGAATCCGGGCCAGCGGCGTGAAAACGATTGGTAGCTGTTATCGCGTTTCGGACCTCGGCTTCCTTGTCAGCATGAGGCTCCGCTTAACCTTGCACCTTATAACCCGTCTGGTACCACAGTGCTGTTGAAGCTGAACAACAACGTGGGACCAGACGATATTCATCCCTTCGTCTTCAAATTCGGCGGCCCCGCTCCAACTGATGAGTTACATAAATTGCTAATGAAACTGTGGGAGCAGGAAACTGTCCCAAACGACTGAAGGCGCTCCGTTATTGTTCCCATATTCAAAGGAGGCTCGCGCTCGGAAGGCGGAAACCGTAGAGGCATCGGCCTGATCCTCACCGGCTCAAACTTACTTGCCACTGTCATCCTTCACCGACCGACTGGCGCCCATGAAGGCCAAATTAGTGAGGAGCAAGCCGAGTTTAGTCTGAGTTATGGATCCATCGATCACATCCTTACTTGCATCAATTGTTAGAGCACCGTCACACAGGTTGGCGGCCCACCGCTATCGTTTTCCGCGACATCAAATTTGCCTTCGATTCGGCTGATCGATGTACACTTTGGAACTGTCTACTCAGGAAAGCTGTACCTGAGATAAACGGTAAATATTATCTGAGCATTATACGCGCGTAGCTCAGGCAGACTGAGGGCTTACGGCAAACACTCCTTGCCTATTTCCAGAAGTGTGAGGCAAGGACGCTCGTTGTCACCTTACCTCTTCCACTTCGCTATTGACGAAGTCATGGAAATCGCGTTCACAGGACACGACTTAGAAGGTGTGGATCTGCTCCCAGGAGAAAGACTTCT